TGCATATGCAAGCGTGGACGCCATTTTGGAAAGTAAAATGTCGCCCTGCGCTCACATATGCATGTGCACCACAGCGGGGGTAGTGAGCATGCGCGCACACGCATGCGTGCCTCCACCGCCATTTTCCCCCCCTTCGGCATGCCAAAGATCGGAGGACAGCGGATCCAGCCCCACTCCCAAAAAGTTTGCTGACCTCTGGTCTAAACCAAATGGGAAAGCTCAGAAGAACTGATGCATGTATGTGGCAAATGCTTGGCTGGACTCAATATAAATAAAAGGAGAAAAATATTTTTCAATTATTTACTGAAACTTGCTAAAATTACTTGTGTGTTCTGTCCTAATTCTTGTCTACTGTTGTTCTGGTGCTATAATGCTTTGGTGTCTTGTTATAACTATCACAAACCCCCATATTTTATGCCAGGTTAAGACATGTTTCTGGAGGTACACTATATGTAAATAAAACAATGTAGAAGAGTAATTATTGTTAATAACAGTGTAACAGGATTAAAGTCATGCATAATTCACACAAATTACTGGGTGAACATGCTAAAGGAAAATGTGCTCTTGTTGTTGATGATGATTTCCTTTGTCCAGTTTGTCCACATTAATGTAAATAAGTTATAACTCTTTTTTAAAAAAATCTGAGTTTGATTTTCTGTTTCAGAAATTAGAGTGCGGAGGAAACTAAGACAATGCCTGGGAAATACATACAGTTTAGACTGTAGGACCCAGACATATATTAATTTTCCAGCACCCAGATAAAGGAAGGGGAACAGACAGGGAACTGAAACTGAGAGTGAGAACATGTTTTACTGTGAGCAGGTATCTTAAAGATTCATGGTTGTAGAGTCTCATTCTCTTTCCTCTTATGGAACACACTCTCCTGGGTCAGCTAGATATCTGAGTATGCTCCAGAGAGTTGGAAATGCAAGCTTTTCTTTCTGCAATGCTAGGATGAGGCACTCAGCCTCCCATGACATTTTCAGATGACCAGGCAGAACGTCCTGATAGGAAAAACAGTTTGACAATGAAATAGACTACCATGGTAGGTGGTTTTTAACCAGAAATTAGATCGTCAACCCCAGTGATACTGTAGTTTTGGGTTTCTGCATTGGAGAGGGTGGGGTAGGCTGGATAACCGTCAGTGATTTTTCCAACTCTATGATTCTGTGAACATGTCACAATGGAGAAATAGCACAACTGTTGCCGACATGAAATATTTAGCAGATTAATCAGTTAGAATAATTGATTTAAAATATTTTTCTTTTTTTGTCCCTGTTTAACTGTGATTTGTAATACAAGAACCTGCAAAAATTATGACTGAGATGCTTAAAAGGAGGATTCTATCCATCGTTTCTCTGCAAGAGGAGAAATGCAAGAAGAGTATGTCATGCAGGTGCAGTATGCCACTATTTCACAGATTGTATACCAAACATTTTCTGCCATGCCAGTCCCTGCTCAGATGAACAGACTGGCTTTATGTTCAGTATTTTGAGGGCTTTGTTCCACTTACCAGCAACAGATGAACCAACAGTAATGGCCACCCACCCAGGTACAGCAGGGGCTTCTGTTACAGTACTGCCAGCTCCAAAAGTGACAAGCATAGGCAAGCTGAAAGGCACTAAACATCATCCTAACTCCACCCAGCCACCAACATCAAGGACTGTACCCTTCAATGGCGAATTTATATACTCATGTAATTCTGGTAATTTATTGTTGTCCTTTTAGCTGGAAATGTATGCAATTTCACTAGCAGTTCCATTCTTATGCTCTGTACTGATTGCTTTCACATTACACAATTATAAACTAAGTTTCCATTTTAACTGCTATGACTTCATTCTATGGAATGCTTGAATTTGTAGTTTCATGAGGTATGTAAACTTCATTGCCATAGAATTCTAGTGTTTTGTCAAACTACAAATCCCAAGATTGTACAGATTACAACTATGGTAATTAAAATTGTGTCAAAGTGTTATAAATTTAAAGTGTGAAATCTTTTGTCAGTTACTTTCATTCTCTCTCTCACACACACACTCCCTAATACATAGATGGGGAACCACATTCACAATGATGTTTCTCTTTTTCACTGCTTAACAGCCCTGTACTATTTTTACTGACAGGCATTTTGATTAGTCAGTAGAGTAAATAATTTCAAAAGACATGAAAAGAGAATTTATGTGGAGTTAATATATACTATATTCATTCACTAATGGAGCATATAAAAGCTTAATAACTATAAGTGGCACTTTTTAGTTCCTGTTTTGCTGTGAAACATTAGTGTATGAGAGTGAGTGTGTGTATGTGTGTACTTTTCTAGTTGGTCATCTCATTAGAGATACCATGACAACTAACAACTAGTTTGATTCTTTTCATGGAGCTTTCCATTTAAGAAGGCTGCTGAATACATAGGAGGGAGTTGATTTTGCTGCTGCCTTTGCACCCAGCTCAACACATTCAGCAATTCATTTTGTTCAAAGCATGTGCATTTACAACTGTATGCAAAAACCAGAGCCTCCAGTTGCACAGAGACAGGCATGTAAAGCAATGCTTATTAATAGCAAGACTGGGCAACAGTAGCAAGATTCAGAGAAAACATTGCCTCTGATGCACCTCTCAGTCATGATCCTGCTGGCCATCCATTTGACTAATATGAGAAGAAGACCTATGCTCATACCAACATATGCACATAGAGCTCTTCTATACGAACCAATGTATATAAATCCAAGCATTTGTTCTGCACATAAGAGAAGATTGGAAGGAGGGATGTTAGTCGTCTGACAACAGCCAGCTACCAGGGACCAAGTGGAAGCCCACATGGAACATGCCATGTTACCAAAAACTGGAAAATATAGGCTACAAAATATGAGGATCGCTTGAAAACCAGAAGTTGCTCCCCCCCAGCCTCCAGTTATGTAATTCTTTCATCAAGAAAGCGAAAGCAGTAGAGAAAGAACATTAGTCAGAAAATACATTGAACAAAAGCATAGGAGAATACTAGGACTTCAGCCAACCAACAAACATTGGTACTAAGAACAAGAATATTGAATATATATATAATTTTTAAGCCCTGGTGCAACAGCCAACCTTTGACTGCTTTATAAGGGTAATGTTTGGGATACTATCCCCATGCAAACACTAGGGACTGTAACGTGAGATACAGTCTGCCCTCCATATCGGCAGACTTGCCAGCTGCAGATTTCACCATCTGCATATGGCAAGCCCCTGTTTTTCTTAATGGCAGTGTGTGCACACGACCATACTAACAGCCGCGTGCACTCCGCGCCACCATTAAGAAAAATGGTAACTGAGCAAACACAGATTTTGGTATCTGCAAAGGGGTCCAGGTGGAATTCCCCCATGAATATGGAGGTACAACTATAATAAGACTTAACGTCCTTGAATCTGAAATCTTCTATTCACAGTACTGTTCTCTACTGATATCAGAAAAATCTGAAAGCTCTTGAGATACTCCTCCAGTTTTGTTGATAGACAACTGGACATGGGTATGGACTCAAAAACTTCCTTTGTCCTGAGTGGAAAGGTTCTGTAAAAATGTTAAAATGGCTTTAATTATATTGTTATTTAATACTGTTTTAACCTTAATTTTGAATGTTTTAATGGAGTTTTTATTATATTTTATGCCATTTTGTACACCACCTGGAGTCCTGATCATGGAGAAAGGTGGGATATAAATAGGGATGCATGGATAAATGGATGGATGGATAGATGGATGCATGGATATGTATGGATTGCCTGGGTACCATCTTTTTCAGCTTCACACTTTCATGGCTGTAACTGAAATCACAGTGACCTTCCTCACATGTGTTAAAAACTATGTAAATAAACACACTCTACAACTGTAGTAGTAATTGTGTGACATTCCAGTGTTGTTGAACTGCAGCTCTCAGCATTCATGGGAGCTGAAATCAAACAACATCCAGAGTGGTGGACAATTCCCACTCTGCTCTACAAGAAGCTTGGCTGAAAGCTTCAGTCTACACTTACAACAGAAAAATCAGAGCAAAAGACAGAGTGAGTTTGGATGTGGTAGTAAGTAGAGTAGCAGTTACTAAAGAACAAGTAAGCTCAGCAAGTATTATTGTACCTTGAATCCTTCTTGAAAGCACCACTTTGTAAAGTCACACTCGTTCAAATTCTTGGATTCAGCTGAAACAGCCACCAAGCATTGCAATTACTGACCCCTCGATGTTACATTGGTTAAACATTCCTCCAAATTTAATTAGTTTTGGGTAACTACTAGCATCCAAGACTGTTTCACACCAATGACTAGAGGGGAGAGGTTCTGTAGCTCATTCCCAGTCTATGAACCATTCGGTATGCCATGAATACAAATTTGTAGATGGATAACAAAAATGTGAGTGAAATACAATGGCAACAGCTGAGATGAAAAGAATGGTGTTATCTCCTAATCTGGCTGTATGGTCTGAAGGACTGCATTTGAACCAGTCTTCGATTTACATCCAGTCACTTTTACAGTTCTGTCAAAGCTGTAAGGATGAAAAAGAATGCCACAAAGTACAAAAAGAAAGACTGCCCTCTTCTGTGACCTACCTAAGATAAGATGTTAAATTAAATTGACTACATCAAACCATTTCCTTGCTGATTTTACAGCCACATCAGAAAACAATGGGATGAGATGAGATGAGATGCTGCCACTGAATAATTTCATCATGTCAGAAAGACATACTCAGAAAAATGCTAGAAGGAACTAATGTAGAAATTGTGTTTTAGGGTGAACTCCATTTACATCATGCATGCTTACTATAGAAATGATGCTCAGTCTCTAAAGGGTGACGTATCAAGGTTCAAGTTCACCAAGGAGCAGAGGCCTGCTAATGGATTCCAAATCTCCAAGCTAGTGGAAGTTTTAATGATAGAATACATATGAACATTTGGGTTGAGGTCAGTGGTTTCTTGCTATAATTTTTTTAATATTTTGTTTATTTAAGCATACATATAAATCATTAATTGAGCTATGAGTCAGCATGGTGCAGTGGTTTGAGCATTGGACTATAATTTTGGAGACCAGGGTTTGATTCCCAGTTCGGCCTTGAAACCCACTGGGTGACCTTGGGCAAGTTACGTGCTGTCAGCCTCGGGGAAAGGCAATGGCAAACATCGTCTGAACAAATCTTGCTGGGAAAACCCCATGATATGTTCACCCTAGGTTACTATAAGTAGGAAAGTACTTGAAGGCACACAACACACACACATGGTAGAAGGGCTATCATGTGGTATGTTAACTGCATGAGGCCATAGCAGTTAAAGTTATATCAAATTACATTATTTCTGCAGTACAGATGCAACCCCAGACATAATTTGTTCTCAGTCTACCTTTCCCACACTATAGTTTCCATCTATGCTCATACCCCTTAATGACATCATCCCCAGCCAGAAGGGTGGGGAAAGAAAGTTACATCCTTTTCTCCAAATTGGCTCTTTCTTTCAAGAACTGACACTGGCAATTTCCTTAACCATTGTTCGTATCACCTATTTAACTCTAGCAAAAAGAAGATATATTGGGCAGCTGTTAGCAGGACTTTGAAAACGTCCAAGGCTAAACCAGATATGCCTCTATACTGACCGGAAAAATTATTTCCAGAAATTGAGGAGAACTGAGTTGGAAGGATCTGGAGAGGTCATCTACTCAAACCCCATAATATCCTTTGAATTGGACATTGACTCTCAGATGTGCAAGGTTTGGTTCTTGTTGCTCAGTTGGAGTACTGAGGATGTGCTTAGTACACAAAAATTAATTTATGGAATTCACTACCACAAGATGCATTGCCATTAATCAATATGGCTTTAAAAATTTGCAGAAGAAGTGTATGCCATTGACATCATGATAGCTATAGCCATCTACAACAGCACACCAATGGAGAGTGGCATGGCAAGAAGCTGAATGCCCTCATGCCCTGCCTCTGAATTTCCCATAGGCATCTAGTTATCTACTGAGAGAAATAGGATGCAGGTCTAGATTACCTTTTGGTTTGATCCAGTGAAGCTCTTCCTTTGAGTTCCAAGG